ACTGTCAATGACCAGTGATTTAATTGATTGTGCCCTACTTAGCAAGCCCCCACATAAGCCCCAAGAGAAGGGGGGCTTTGGAAAGCATTCTCAATGAAGAATGGTGGTGAAATGTGGTGATTTAGGGAGAAGGCACATCTGGAGTGGGCAGGGGGGCTCTGAACCTTTTCCCACACCTCTGCCTTATGCATTTCTTTCAAGCGCATGTTCCTATAGAATGAACCAGTGATCTAAAGAGTCAGTGGGTTTCCTGATTCCCATGAGCTGCTGTAGCAAATTAAAGGGGCAAGGTGTCCTACAACTCTCTCATTAATAGGTGGTAGTCAGAGCACTTTGTGACTGTTGTCTGAAGTAGAAAATGGCATCTTGGGAGACTGAGGTCTTAACCTGTGTGATCTGATGCTCTCTGGGTAGATGGTGGCAGAATTGAGTTAAATTCTCTGAACACATGCTGGTGTTTGAGAGTGCTTGTGTGTGTGTATGGGGGGAGCAGGAAATACACACACTCAATGCTGGAGTTGCATCCAGGCACCCTATTAACTAGTGAATGGGAAATGTCAATCAAATGCCTTATATTTACTGGGATGGTTATCATTAAAAAAAAGAAAGAAAGAAAAAAAGACAGCTAATAACTGTTGACAAAGGAAAAGAGAAATTGAAACCTTCACACGTGGCGGATAGAAATGTAAAAAGGTGCAACCACTTTGGCAGTTTCCCAAAAAGTTCAACATAGAATTATCACAAGGCTCAACAGTCCCATTCCTAGGTATCTGGTAAGGGAAATAAGGTTACATATCTCTACAGAAACCTTTACATAAGAAGTCACAACAACATTATTCCTAAAAGCCATAAAGTGGAATCAACCCAAATATCTATCACCTAATGAGTGAATAAATGAAGGAATAAACGCAGCATATCCACACCATAGAGTAGTGTTTGGCAATAAAAGGAAGTTAAAATTCAAACATGCTATAGTGCAAATGAATCTTGAAAGCATCACACTAATGAAAGATGCCAGTCACAAAAGCATACACCTGGTATTATTCCACTGATGTGACAAATTCAGAAGAATGAAATTTATAGGAGCAGGAGGTAGGTTAGGGTTGATTAAGGCTGAAGAAGGGAGAGAAGGGAGTGACTGCCAATGCTCATAGGAGTTCTTTTGGGGATGATGAAAGTGTTCTGAAAGTAGATTGTGGTGATGTTTGCACACCCTGTGAATATACTAAAAGCCAGAGACCTGTGCACTGATTTCTTTCAGGTACACAGTAAACAATAAGTATTGGTTCTTCTCCTTTCTTCAGGGTCCCTTCTAGATAAATCTCACCCCCTCAGCACAGGGCAGAGAGTACACAGCACACTTCACCGTAGACTCCGCTATGCTGCTCTGGAGTGTGCCTGCAGAGCTCTATCCTGCAGTTGCTGCACATTTGCAGAAAAGCCAAAGGAAACCACCAAGCTACGATGGTGAGTCATCTGTAGCAGTGGCTTGCAGCTCATCTCCCTGCCCATGTTCTCTGACAGCGGGTTGTGTTCTGAAACCATCATCAAACTACCAGCATCTGTCCTTACTATGATCTCGAGGATGAGCATGGCTGAAATGGTGGCTCCCTTATGTTGCAGACATGTAACCTCATCACCTGAAGCCACGCTGCCTTATCTACAGTCAGTGATTTAGAAAACCCAGGCGGGGGAGAGAAGGTGAGAAGACCCTGCGGCCAAGACCCAGGACACCAAGAGACAGGCCATCCAAGGAGCCTCTGTCCCTCCTGGAGATGCCTAGTCAAGCCCCAGGTAGGTGCCAGAGAGAGAAGTTCCCACACCCGTATCTTCAAGTGGGACCTATGCTATAGAGACACGTACCAACCCCATCACAACTCTGACATCCAAACGGCCCTGAAAGCCCAGGATCGGTCAGGACTCATTTGGCTGCCAAACCTGACCACTCCTATGCTCTTTCTACAGAATAGTAATGTGTTTAATTACAGAATTCTGCCCCAGGCCCTACTATGGGTCAGGTAGTATATGGCATTCGGACTGCTTTGTTTTCTTTCTGAAAGACGAAACAGTTCGAATTTTGAAAACTGTCTGGCCTCCTGGTTTTTGGATAAAGGAGTGTGGACCTCCATTACTGTGAACCTATTTTATCCTCCGATGTAATCGGGAAACACCACATACCCCCTTGATAGACACCAAGTAGGAAAAGAGCAGAATGAAAGAGCGGAGGTTTGGAATAGGTGACGGGTGGGGGTTGGCTCACTGCTCTAAATCCCATTAGCTGTGGGGCCTTGAGAATGTCATTTAACCTTTCTGAGTCTTGATTTATTTACCAAAAGAAATAGTAATGTCTACCTCCCATGGTTAGGCCATTGAGTACATCTGAGTAAGTGCTTAATGTAAATAAATAAATTATATCACTTAGTGGCCACAATTTTGGGTCTCAAGGGAAAATTCAATCAGAGACACAGGGATTTGCTTATAAAAGCAATATAGTCCCTGTTACGGAGAACCCGCAGAGCCTTCTTGACAGACTCTGTCTTCTACCCACCACTGGCCCACATAATTTACACTTCCCTTAGGAAGCAGAGGGGTTGACACACTGTAGCTATTGACAGTCTGTTTTAGGTCTGTGTGTCCTACAGCGGTTGCTTGATGACCTTCAGCCCTGAGGGAGGGCCACAGCTAGACCAGTGGGCCCCTTTTAAAAAAGCCTCTTGACTTGGAGATCCAATTGGCTGCTCTTTTATATAAGCATCACTAAAAATAAATCACTAGGATTTTGTCTTTTTATATCTGAACTAGGACAAAATAATTATGACTCGACATCCCCATGGACCCACAATTCCTACGCCCAAGCAGATAATGAAATACTCCTCTGACCTGGTCTCCCTAGGCTGAAACTCCTCCTCTGGGGAGGTTTGGCTGCAGGTGGAGGGAGAACCCTGTGTTGACCCCATCGCTAAAGGCTCTTTAGCGACCAGGGCCAGGGGCAGGCCAGTGAGCTCATCAAAGTATCTTTCCTTTGGCCAAAGGCTATTTACAGTACAGGTCACATCAAATATTGCTTCACCCTGTAACTGATGGAAAATCAAAGGCAAATGAAGCCCTTTGAAGAAATCTGTCTCTTGGTGCTCAGAGGTTTCCATATTATTATAGCCCAAAGTACCCAAGTCTGTCTAGCCTTATAGGAAGGGAAAGAAATTCTAATTCTGACAGAAAACTACTCCCCACAGTAAATTCTTCTAAACTCTTCTCAGAACTCTAAACCTGTAGGTATTAGGTAAGAAAGCCATTTTGAACATCATACCACCCCAAACCTAATCTCTTCACCTCACCCAACCCCCACCCTGCCCATCACACACCTTGAAAGTGGCCAGGTCACATGGACTACAGGCTTGGAGCCTGGCTGGCAGTGTTAAAGGGGAATACGCCGTACTAAGTATATTTCATATGTTCTAGGTGGCATCCTTTCTCCAGGTGAGCAAATTCTTGGCTAGTATTTTGCTTTTGCATCGCAGAGACATTTCATCCATTCAGTCAATAAGATACAGTAGTGCCCTCGTGGAGCTGATTTGGAGCAGACAGAGACAGACACTAAAGAGCAAACTGAATAATCAATGAGAGAGCCTCTGAGAAAAAGATAGTGCTGTGCAGCAGAAGGCAGGATTAGGAGTGCTGGGGGTTGGGGAGAAGTTAGAAATAGGATGAGATAGTAGTTTGTTTGAGGCTCTCCAAAGAAACAGAACCAAATAGGATGGGTGAGTGGGTGGATGGATGGATGGATGGATGGATGGATGGATGGATGGATGGATGGATGATGGATGGATGGACTGATGGGTGGATGGATGGATAGATGGATGCAGGGATGGATACATAGGGAATTGGCCTATGCAATTAAGCTAAGAAGCTAAGAAGTCCCACCAACTGCTGTAAGCAAGCTGGAGTCCCTGGAAAGCTGATGGTGTGGTTCTAGTCTAATCCCAAAGGCTTGAGAAGTAGGGGAACCAATGGTGTAATTGACATGTAGCAGACCAATGTCCCAGCTTGGACTGTCAGGCAGAGAGCCAATTATCCCTCTGCTTTTTGGTTCTGTTCAGTCCTCAGGCCCACTACGCTGAAGAGAGCTTCTATTTTGTTTAGTTTACTAGTTCAAATGCTAATTGCACCCAGAAAGGCTTCATAGAAATGTTCAGAAATAATGTTTAGTCAAATATCTGGGTATCTCATGGCCACATTGACCATAATGCTAGCCAGACAGTTAAGTCTAGGGGTCGATCCCTCCCAGTAGACCTCTACGAGTCTCTGCACTCCCAGCATGCTCTGTGCCAGGCATGTGGCGGTGGGAGCTAAAGATCTTTCTGGATAATAGATGACAGTTTCTATTTTGTGTACTGACCCCAAGGACCTGCTTCACAATCACCATCTACTTCAGCTCCAGGAACAGTGCTTTCTTCCATCTGAACCTGTCCATGTACTTCACGAGTCAGCCTCCTCCTTCACTTGTAAGCTGCTGCCATGTCCCACTTCTGGTGCATGGTCATTTTCACAGGACCCCCAACTCTTTGGCAGTGCTCTGAGCCTTGCTTCCCCTGCACTGACAGACAGGATCCCTAGACAAGCTCTTTCCCTTCCCCTACTAGTAACCATCACACCTGCCACATACCCCTTCATCACTGTGCCCCCTACAGCCCAGAGCTATGAGGCCCCAAATCTGTTCAGGATGTCTTACTGCTGTTGCAGGAGCCAGGGACCTACCCATTGACAGTTTCTGTAGTTTTCTTTGTCCTAAACAGCAAGGAGAGTGAGAGACTGAGCACTTAGAGACCAGATTGTGTTCTTGTTTTTTTCCCTGGATATTTATTCCAAAATAAAAACATAACACATTTAAGCAAATTACTACAAATGATTTAGATTTAACATGGTTTTCTTGGTTTTTTAAATTGCAACAACTTAAAGAGATTTTTTCCAATTCAATAAATAGAATAAATAATAGTTCATCTTCATATTTTGCCTTTGACCCATTGTTTCTGGAAAACTTCCAAGAGTCTCTTCAGGAAAGTCAGCGTGTTGCCTGTTGAGGCTTGTTTGCATGGCTCATCACAGGAAAAAAACTGTAGGGATAAAAGTTAGCACAGGTATTAAAACAGCAGAGAACTGCCAATCCTAGGAACTTCCCTGTTCAGAGCAGGGTGCGGGTGGAGTGTCAGTAGGAGGTGGGGGGGGGAGGGGGCAAAGTAGAGGAGGTGCCAGACATAGAAG